CCCTTACACACCATGCCCCGCCCAATTATACCTGACTGCAGCGGTGCTGTCCCCGAAGCCGCAGCAAACCACGCCCCCTACACACCACACCCCCGGCCCCTTGCACACCATGCCCCTGCCCAATAATACCTGACTGCAGCCGGTGCTGTCCCCGATGCCGCAGAAAACCACGCCCCCTACACACCACGCCCCTACACACCACGCCCCCCGGCCCCTAACACTCCATGCCCGACTGCAGTTGACAGCAGCATGTAGGTCGTTTACATTTTGGGAAGATATTGACGTTTAATTTAATGTTAATGTTTTAGACATTTTGCTCTGCAGAAAGAGTATTAATTACTTTTTTTCAAATAAACTATTTCTTCAACTCAGTACCTTAAAATTGTCAATGTGTCAACTTTTACATGTGTTAGACTATATGAAAGTCAGAGTAATGAGTGAGCAAGGGATGACAACAGAAGCAGTGGGGGAACAGGGCACATATACTCAGCATAACTCAACATATCAAGCTTTTTTTTCTTTTTTTTTTCCTTTAGCAAAAATATATTCAAAGAATAGTTTCGGTGATATGTGTGTTGATTAAGTTTGACTGAAGTGTAGTTTACAGTTCCTGTTATTTCTTTCCAGAATAAAATGTATAAAGTGAGGAAGTAGGCCTATGAGTTTTTTTAGTATTTTATTCTCCTATAGACCAACATCACAACATTTAGGGAGGGAACATGCCCAGAGCTCTGTAAATTGGGAGTGGACACTTTTCAGTGCCCGATGTGCCACAAGGCAGGGCCATACCATGCCCTAATTTAAGGCCACCAGAAATCTGTTGTTAAATATGGAGGTAAGTTCAACCACAGATATTGATAAAAATTTTGTTAATACCAATGCCATTATCGATTCCCCTTATTGATCTGATTCTTTGTCAATTATGTTATCGATTTATGGTCAGTAGGCTATTTTATGTGGGGAAACTTAACTGTTCTATTATTGTCACTGTTAATCTTTTGGCCTTGCTACATACTTGCTATTTTCTTCCATTTTGTCTCATCAGTGAGAAACAGAGCTCTGGAGTCCGAGGACTTTATTGACAACAAAACAATAAAAGCTGTTGCTGGCTGTTTCATGTCTGATTTTTTTCTAAAATAAAACTTTTAAACTTTTGCGTTTTAAGGTACACATTTTGAAGATGGGTGTATGGTCATTTNTCTGAAAGGGTTTAGTGCTAATTAGTATATTACTGGATAAATTAATGACATAATTAGGCAGCATAAATGTTACTGAATAGAACAAATACTTGCATTTCATTTGCAGCACTCAATAACCATAAATAACAATGAAGTAAGTGTATCAGGTCAGAAGAGTTACCAGATATCTTTACTCTCTTGACAGTCTTGGTGGAGTTGTTGGTGACGTGGACATTGACACTGATGGGCTCACCGTGGTAATACAGCTGGAAGGAGATTGGAGATTGAGCACTGTTTGTATTGCTATTACTCATTAAATAGCACCTCAAAGTGTGTGACAGTGCTACCTCCTTATCCAATGATGCCTCCAAGTGTAGAGCTCTATCAGACATCAGGAAGCTGCGACTGATCTCCACCATCGGCTGTGGACCTGGCTTCTCTGGGGCATACTGAACCTTCCTAATCGCCAGATGCACTGAATTCCTACAAACACAGCAGGTTCATTTACATTTATATATATTTAACTAGAGATGCGACAATCCGATACTGGGTATAGTGCCGATACTGGACGAATTTACGGTATTGGATGATTTACTTCACAGTGGTAACTGGCCGATCCGATCCCGCCAATAATACCTGACTGCAGCCAGTGCTGTCCCCGAAGCCGCAGCAAACCACGCCCCCTACACACCACGCCCCCTACACACCACGCCCCTCGACCCCTTACACACCATGCCCCCGCCCAATTATACCTGACTGCAGCGGTGCTGTCCGTGAAGCCGCAGCAAACCACGCCCCCTACACACCATGCCCCGCCCAGTAATACCTGACTGCAGCCGCTGCTGTCCCCGAAGCCGCAGCAAACCACGCCCCCTACACACCACGCCCCCCACACACCACGCCCCCGGCCCCTTACACACCATGCCCGACTGCAGTTGACGGCAGCACGTAGGTCGTTTACATTTTGGGAAGATATTGACGTTTAATTTAATGTTAATGTTTTAGACATTTTGCTCTGCAGAAAGAGTATTAATGACTTTTTTTTCAAATAAACTATTTCTTCAACTCAATACCTTAAAAATGTCAATGTGTCAACTTTTACATGTGTTAGACTATATGAAAGTCAGAGTAATGAGTGAGCAAGGGATGACAACAGAAGCAGTGGGGGAACACGGCACATATACTCAGAATATTTGTATTTTCATTTAACTCAACATATCAAGCTTTTTTTTCTTTTTTTTTCCTTTAGCAAAAATATATTCAAAGAATAGTTTCGGTGATACGTGTGTTGATTAAGTTTGAATGAAGAGTAGTTTACAGTTCCTTTTATTTCTTTCCAGAATAAAATGTACAAAGTGAGGAAGTAGGCCTATGAGTTTTTTTAAATAGTATTTTATTCTCCTATAGACCAACATCACAACATTTAGGGAGGGCACATGCCCAGAGCTCTGTAAATTGGGAGTGAACACTTTTCAGTGCCCGATGTGCCACAAGGCAGGGCCATATCATGGCCTAATTTAAGGCCACCAGAAATCTGTTGTTAAATATGGAGGTAAGTTCAACCACAGATATTGATAAAAATTTTGTTAATACCAATGCCATTATC